TGAGAGGCCCGCGTACCAAAAAAAAAAAAAAAAAAAAAAAAAAACAATCTAAAGAAGAAAACAAAAGCATTTGATATCTCACTAAGTAATATTGTGCTATAAAATATGAAACATTTGATGTTACTATTCATATATCTCTCTGTATGTGTATATGCATATATACACACATATTTTTTAACATGTTTTAATGTAATATTTGGATTTGGTATCTTGTTTTTATCTACTTAGCATGTTGTGTCATTTTCCCATGTTATCAAAAATTCTTTGTAAAAATTATTTTTAGGGCTGCCTAATAATCATTCCCCTAATACTACATATTTAAGTTGCTTCAAACCTTCTTTTATAGATAATGCTGTAATGAAAATCTTTGCTTATAAAGTTCTACCTTTTTCTCACAGTTCCACCTTGGAATAAATTCCTAGAACTGGAAGAACTAGGTCAATAAGTCAAACTCTTTGAATCCTCTTGAAACATCCTAAAAAACTGCATTCAGAAAAGGTTGCACCATTGTGCTCTTCTGGCATTAGTATGTAAGAATGCCAGTTGGAAACCATCCATTCCAGCAACAAACAGTATAATTTATAGTTTAATCTTTGCCAACTTAATAGGCAAAAATTATCTTATTGTTGTAAGATACTGCTGGAGAGGTTTACTAAACCATTCGTATATTTATTGAGCATTTGTATTTCTTTTTAATTGTGTTCTTTGACCATTTTTTCTTTTGGCATTATTATAAGATATTAAACTCATATTTCACAATGATTATAATTATTTTCCCTGCTTGCTGTTTACTTTATAATTTTGTTTATGATGTTTTTGACTTAGAAATGCTTTAAATTTTTATTAGCCAAAGGAATTTTTTTGTTAGTTTCATACACACACATCTCACACCCTTATACATGCACACACACACACACCACACATACATACATATATCTATTATATTTGTTTAGAAAATTCTTTCTAATCCTACACTTAAACTATCCACCAATATTTTCTTATGTGTGTTTATAGTTTTTCTTTTTTTTACTCTATATATTTAATCTCTTTAGAATGACTTTATGTATTGTGTGAGGTATGGAGCTG